TTTATAGTTCTCTTTGCTCCAGTTGATATTTTCCTGAAACATGAGAAATGATTGTTTCAAATCCTACAGGGCTATAAACAACTTGGGGAAGTACTTCTAATCTGTTCTCACAAACAGAGAGCAAATAAGCAACCTATGAAAATAACAGAATGATTATGGAAATATTCCATATGTCATGATAAAAAGGGAGCTCCATTTTGAAGTACAAGAAACTTACAATAAGATATGGAAATAAAAAAGCAAATTTCCAGCCTAGGCAACATATTGAGATCTCATCTCTAAAAAAAAATTTGAAAATTTACTGGGCATGATGGTGTACACCTGTATTCCCAGTTACTTGAGAGGCTGAGGTGGAAGAATCACCTGAGTCTAGGAGTTAGAGGCTGCAGGAAGCCATGATCTGTGCCACTGCACTCCAGCCTAGGTTATAGAGTGAGACCCTCAACTAAAAAAAAAAAAACAAATTTCCAACTTGAAAAGCGTATTTAAAAATAATCCCACAGCAAATATGTTGATGATGAAATCCTGAAAACGCTTCCTTTATAATTAAAAACAAGATAAGGTGCTGCTGGCCTCCACAGTGGCTTAAGCCTGTAGTCCCAGCTACTCGGGAGGCTGAGGCAGGAGGATAAGGTAAGAGAATCACTTGAACCCAGGAGTTTTAGTGAGTCATGACTGTGCCACTGCACTCCAGCCTGAACAACAGAGCAAGATCCTGTCTCTAAAAAGAAAAAATGGGTTTTTTGTTTGTTTTTTAGTTGAAGTCTCACTCTGTCGCCCAGACTGGAGTGCAGCGGCACGCTCCTGGCCACCACAACCTCGACCTGCTGGGTTTCCTCGAACCTTCTGCTCAGGCTTCTAAGTAGCTGGAACTACAGGCGCATGCTACCACGCCCGGCTAATTTTTTGATTTATTGTAGAGATGAGGTCTTGCCAAGTTGCCCAGGTGGGTCTCGAACCCGCGGGCTCAGGCAATTCACTCACCTCGGCCTCCCAAAGTACAGGATTACAGGCTGAGCCACAGAGCCCGGCCTAAAACCCAAAAGACTCAATGTATAAATTATAAGAATGAATAACAGATAACAAAAATGTACCCGTTTCAAACAACAGCTATTTGAAAATATAATTTTAAAATACAGGAAGTCACAGCATATGAACAAATTCCATTCCAAGAGTGCGTTTGTAAGTCTAACTGGCTTTAAGTCCAACAAAGTTAGCCTAGGTACCCAACTAACACAATCAGCTCTATAGTACTGTATGTATTTAACAGGATATACTGACACCTGGTGGAGAGAAATAATTCATTAAAAAACACAGGTGGGTATCATTTAAGTTTGTAACTTGAAAGTTCCTATGTAGGGGACTTACAGTAATGTCATTTGTAATAGGCAAAAAATACATATATATAAGGGACCCAGGAATAATCTAACAAATGACAGACAAGACCTCCACAGAAAACATCATAAACCTTTCTGGGAGGCACTGAAGAACACCAGAATAAGTATAATACCTCACTGAGTTCAGAGGGATAAGACTCAGCCCTGAAAAGGTGTCAATGAAACCTTAACAACTGTACGATGTCGACTTGTATACCTAATCCTGGATTGTTCCCCACATCTTTTAAATAGTAAATATTAAATAAATAAATAAGAAAGCTTAACATAACCTGCTGGTGGTTTTGGTGCAATTCACAAGCTGATTCTAAGATTCATGTGGAAGAAGAAAGGGCCAAGGACAGTCAGGCTCCTGAAGAAACATAGCAGGGCTTTAACTTAACATGTATAAAAAATAATTAAGTTACAATGACTGACAGTATGGCATTGGTGCTGATTTAGAAAAACTGGCCATTGGAATAGAACAGAGTCCAAAAACACATCCATGATTTATGGAGATTACTGATGACAGAGATATATCAAAGACTAACAGAGAAAGAAGAAGGTGTTTTGTCTGTTTGTTTTTCAATAAATGGTGTTCACAAAACTGATTATCCACATGGTTTTTGTTTTGTTTAGAGACAGTGTCTCGTTCTGCTGCACAGGCTGGTGTGTCATAACTCACTGAAACCTTGAACTCTAGGACTCAAGTGATCCTGCTGCCTCAGTCTCTGAGGTAGCTGGGACTACAGGCATGTGCCACTACACTCAGCTAATTTTTTTATTTTTTACTTTTTGTAGAGATGGGGGTCTCCCTATGTTGCCTAGGCTGGACTCAAGTGATCTTCCTGCCTCAGGCTCCCAAAGTGCTGGAATTAATAGTATCCCCAGCCACATTGTTAAGAAAGAAATCATAAAGGCCTTCAGCATAAGATTAGCTCGCCCACAGCTCTAAGGATGGGCAGGAGGCACAAGCACCTACAGGGCAGAGTACCAGTTGCTATAATCTCATAGGACTCAGGCAAGAAAGATCTGTGGAAGGAGAGAGAGAGAGACAGACAGAGAGAGAGAGAGAGAGAGAGAGAGAGAGAGAGAGAGAGAGAGAGAGAGAGAGAGAGAGAGAGAGAGAGATACCTGAGAACAAACCAAGCAAGGATAAAATCCCAGTAAGAGGGACCGATGACAGTGGAATGGAAAGCCCTTTCCACTCCTCCTGGCAGAAGGCTACTGATGAGTAATGAAGATCCAGCAGAGATTCTGGAGATAGAGAGGTGTCAAATGTGCAGCTATTCTCCCCTCGAAACATTTCCTAAATGTTTAAGGTGCATGGGACAGAATGTCCACACATTTAAGTTGCATGAGATAGGAGCAAAACTGGAAACTTCTGAAGGACAGACTGCATCTCTCAGTCTTTCAGGGCCAAGAAGAAAAAGATTTAAGGCGAGCTGTCACCTCACAAAGAACTCAGTCAGGCTCTTAGATGGACACTCTGGAAGGCAACACTCTAAAAACAGGGAAGAATCAACAATACACCGAGTCTCATCAAAATGCAAGCCAGATCTGACCCAGCTATCCACTGCGTGGAAGGAGGTGTAGAGTCCACCATCTTATTTCTCCATTGGAGGAAAGGAAAATCCCCTCTGGTGGAAGACATCCTCCTAGAGTTTCTGGTCTTTTAATACACAATGAGCAGCACACAACAAACACCACACCTGTGAAAAAGACAGTCCAAAGAAAACACAGACAAAAGCTACAGATTATACCAGACACAAAAACTAAAAATAACATGATTACAACCCATAATTAGGAGAAAAATCAACCAAAACTGATCCAGAAATATCATGTGATATCAGTTAGTAAATAATAACATGAAGAGTTATTGGCCAGGATTGGTGGCTCAGCCTGCAATCCCAGCACTTTGGGAGGCTGAGGCAAGTGGATTGCCTGAACCCACGGGTTTGAGACCAGCCCAGGTAACTTGGCAAGACCTCATCTCTACAATAAAAAATAAAATAAAAAATTAGCCAGGCGCGGTAGTACACACCTGTAGTTCCAGTTACCTGAAAGGCTGAGGCAGAAGATCACCGGAGCCCAGCAGGTCAATGCTGGGGTGGTTGTAAGCATGCTACTGCATTCCAGTCTGGGCGATGGAGTAAGACTCCAACTCAAAAAAAAAAAAGTTATTATAACTAATCCTGTATGTTCAAAGTATTAAGAAACATCAGAAACAAAAATGACAAACTTCTAGCAATAAAAACTACAATGTCAGCCGGGCTCGGTGGCTCAACCTGTAATCCCGCGCCTTTGGGAGGCTGAGGTGAATGGATTGCCTGAGCCCGCGGGTTCGACACCCGCCAGGGCAGCGAGACCTCATCTCTACAATAAATCAAAAAATCAGCCGGGTGTGGTAGCACATGCCTGTAATTCTGGCTACTTGGAAGGCTGAGGCAGAAGGATCGCCGGAGCCCAGCAGGTCGAGGCTGTGGTGGCCAAGAGCGTGCCACTGCATTCCAGTCTGGGCAACAGAGTAAGACTCCAACTCAAAAAAAAAAAAAATACTACAATGTCAGCTGGGTTCAGTGGCTCAGCCTGTAATCCTGCGCTTTGGGAGGCTGAGGTGAGTGGACTGCCTGAGCCCGCGGGTTCGAGACCCACCTGGGCAACTTGGCAAGACCTCATCTCTACAATAAATCAAAAACTTAGCCAGGCGTGGTAGCATGCCCCTGTAGTTCCAGCCACTTGGAAGGCTGAGGAGGAAAGATCGCCAGAGCCCAGCAGGTTGAGGCTGCAGTGGCCAGGAGCGTGCCACTGCATTGCAATCTGGGCAACGAGTGACACTCCAACTCAAAATGAATAAATAAATAAATAAACTACAATGTATGAGATGAATAATATATTAGGTAAGATTAACAAAGATTAGACATTACAGAAGTAAAGATTAATGAATTTGAAGATATAATAAAAAATGAAACGAGAGAACAACTAAAATACATGAACAGAGCATCACTGAACTGTGGGACAACTTCAAGCAGTCAAATATATGCATAACTGAAGCCCCTGAAGGAGAGGGAATAACCAAAAAGAAAAAAACAAAAACAAAAAAACCCTGAATGGTCGCAGTAGGCAGAATTCTAAAAATGATCCACAAACCACTGTCTTTTCATCTTTAGAAACTGAAACTGAGCCAGGCTCGGTGGCTCAACCTGTAATTCCGCGCCTTTGGGAGACTGAGGTGAGTGGATTGCCAGAGCCCGCGGGTTCAAGACCCACCTGAGCA